TTCACAGTTCGTTTCAGTAGATGTAAAACTTTGTCTGCAAAGACAATAGATCGCGGATCGTGCGCGATTTCTCACGTTTATATTCAGAAGGTTGATAGTGCAAATTGATCGCAGTGACCTTGGACGTTGCTTGAACAAAATACCCGTCAGATTATTCTTGCAAAATTGGTATACCTACAGTAGATAATGCAAACAAATGATGTTTGGCGGAAAACGCGACGGCCGATTTAAAGGCTCCGCCTCAGTTGATAATGCGAAAGGTATAAAAAAAATCAACCGAAAGATTTGATCAGACTGTTGCTGTATGTGTTAAAGAACCGGGTATTGTGGACTGCCAACAGCGTTACTTAAGAGAACTCAATGAAGTTTTTACTGTTGTTCCGTTTCTTCTGTCTGCGAACCCATCAAATTCCAGTAATCGCCCGGTTAGTTAAAAAGCAGGTCAGAAAAGCATGATGAACTGTCAATTCTTTGGACCTGACAACTTCTCCGACCGTGCACCACTTGCCGATTACATTATCTGAAGTATATTTCAGTATCTCTCGATTCTTGCTATGCAATAATAATCCTATTTCTGGACATGCAACAAGTATTTGACCGGGTACCTCACAAGCGGTTGTTACAAAAGTTGGGAGCCTTTGGAACCCGGGAGTCATTGCTAGGTTGGCCATCGTCATAACTGTGTGGTCGCCACCAGGTAGTTATTTTAGGTGACTGCCGCTCTCCACGCCCCATCATCAATCAGGTCATTCAAAGGAGTGCGCTCGGTTCTTCACTGTTCCTACTCTAGAGCAGTCACATTACCACATCCGAAAACAAGATGACCGGCCACTCTTGTTCGCTGACAATATCAAGGTTGTCTGTTAGCTTCGGCGTAAGGAACTTCACAGAAATCTACTGTTCATACAAGATGACTTACACTCCCTTAAGTCATAGTGATATACTGGATGGCGAACTTTGGCTAAGAAATCAAGCGCGGCTGTTCCATCCCCGTGGATTTATTGCACTAAACAACGAACATGTCTCTACACGGCTGTCCATGCATGAACTAGGTACCCAACGGCTTTCAATTTCTCGCAAAAGACTCAAACGCAAGTAACACTTGCTAGACAACCTGTATTCGATATATTCAACAAAATCCACACGACTCATGTCAGAGTTGAGCCTGTTAAGCTACTTAGCCCCCCCCCTGCCATCACCGACGAACAGTTCAGCATAACATGAGAAAGAGTGACATAATTGTTCTGGAACACACCCTGATGTCGTCCATAAACTCCTAAATGTTAAACTCACTGCTATGTATTCTCGAGAGCGTTGTAACACACTTCAACTCGAACCACTTTGGATTCGATGACTGAAACATCGCTTGTTTATCTACAAATTGTTGCACAAAAAGACTATTCCGATCTGCCTACGCTCGAGTTGCAACATAGCGCAACTCGAGTGTTTCGCAATAAAGATTATTCACTGAATATACCAAGGGCTAAAATAAGCATGCGCTAAAATTTCTTCCCGGTTAGATATACCTATCTGTTGAATAAACTGCTAGTAACACTCGGGCCACGTGATAAGATGGCAACATTTCGTAGCAAACGCTCCAGTTACCTTGGCCCAAATTCTATAATAGCCATATTCCCATGGGCAAACTCCTTCCCACGAAAGGATCAAAATCCTCTCTAAACACCTATGTTTCAAAACATTGGTGTTCCTCTCAATCAAGCACCAAAACGCAATTACATGAATCGCAAGTTGCAATATTCCCCTTCTGCATATTGCCCAAGCAAGAGCATTGTTACGTTTGTACGACTTGATCTGTGCTGCTACAGACACATTTGCTCGGATCAGTAGAAATATTATTATTTTTATTGTAAACTTTGTACGCTGTCCTGTTCCCAATTTTTCATCCCACTACTTCTGACTCCATTTCCTTCATCCTTGTTGCCTTGGCAACTCTTGCTGTGACAGCTGGGTCCACTGCACTACAAACACCCTAATCATTGTCGTTTAGTTTGATCAAACCACACTGTCTGCCATCACCATTGGCCTGTCCACGTCTAACGTTCACAGGAAGCAAACGTTTTGTGGGGTACACCATGAATCGGGCTCCTGGTTTAAGGTACTAATGTATGATCCGGCTTGTGTCTATCGCCATATCGGTGGCTTCGTTTCCAACTATTCTGGAGGGACAAAACAGCACATTTGAGTCAAAACCAATGGCTCATACTTGCTGGGGCTAAGTCTTCGCAGTACATGTTCTCCGCAGGATTTTGCGCATTACCAGGTGGAGGTAGGAGGTGAACTAATTTCGCTTCTCCACAGTGCGAACTAAGTCTGCTCCCCAGTGCTGGAAGTTCATAGGCCGCTGCAAAATTTCTCCGAAATCCTATCGAAGCTGAATCGCTTCTTTGACTTAAAGTTTTTACCTTGGTTCCCAACTGAACATTAGTTAGATTGTGAGCAGAATATATTTGAGGCTAGAGAAGAACAGAAACGCAGTGAGATCTCAGTAGTGTCACGGACTTGCGCGAATAATGGGATAATAATTGTCGCCATCGATAGTTCATTAATACCAAAGGTTTCGGGGGTTGGGTACCGAAACAAGGACAATATTTAATATTAACTTTGATCCCATTCCCTGTACTCACCTTATCCTTTCTCTGTGAACTCCTTACCACTTCAAAACCGACATGCCCCTTCCTCTAAGCCCTTGTACCCCCACCATCAATCCTTTCACCGTAAACAAAGGTATCCATCTTGCTCCGCCTCATTAGTCATCCATACCGTGCGCCTCCGTATCGACGCTATTTGTTTCCACGTCGTACCTTTTACCTAGACCCAGCTTTGTCTGGTTAAATTCTACTTATTCGGACCATGTTTCTCTCTTAGTGTAACCAACTTTCAATCAGTTGCTCTGTACCACGCCGATCCGTAGCCTTCTGGATCACAAACATGCCTCATACTCCGAGGGCGCGGGTTTGAACCTGCCTAGGGGACCGGCTGACCCTCGCAGTACCCTTAGCCCACGTGCGACTGATGTTAGTTGCGCGGCAGCGAAGCTCGGCTACTACGTACCGGTGATGCCTCCTTTACCAGTTGATATATGGACGTCTCGGTTGACTCCGTGACCTTTGGAATTCGTACTTAGATCAAACGCTTACTTCATGCTAAGGTATTTGTACCTAGTTCTGCACGCAACCAAATCAGTCACACCTTTCGGAAATCTACAACACGCAGCCTTTCATCAGTTATATATGTTCCTGCTGTATATCCGGGTGCCTTCGCGTGGACACTCACAGTTTCGAATCCCCCTTGTTGGCCATCAGAGTGAAATTGCGTCTACTGTTTCTCTACAGAGTTGGAAGCGCATTCACTAAGGCGTATACTATCATTATCATTTAATTTGCACAAAATTAGAAACATTTCTCATTACTCAGTAAGTACTTGAATTCGAGGCTGAGGCGGACGCGTTTCTTACGGCTTGCAAGGTGATTTGATCACTTCAGAACATCCAAGAACACTCGTCGCTGCTAGACATTATCTTTCAGCTGCTATCAAACGAAATAGCGCTGGATCACGTCTTCATTCTACCAATGATCCGTATTGACGCGCATTCGAGTCGTCTTTCCGGACTTCAACGTCTAGTCGACTAATATATAATCCTGAGCATACGCTTTTCTACCGTGAGTGACGTTGACTGCTTAAGTCGCTGAATTGCAAAATTTGCAGCTTATAGTGTCGAATCTGAGAGATCAATTTTATAAGCTATTTGATCGTCCGAAAATCTGAACATAGTGTCTCAATTCACCACCCAGATAACCAATCCTAGAAAAGTAAAACGAACGCACACCCACTAATGCTTTGCTACAGAACAACGCACTGATAGTGTCACCTGATCGGTGACGAAATGTTTGCACCGAATGTGCCAAGCTCAGTGAACGCAGACCATCAATGGAACAACCTGATCTAGCATCGCTTGATTCAAGCTCACCCGGACGCAGGCTGCCTCCCATATGCCAGCGACATAAGCAACTGTCTGGTCGTGATTTGTAACCCCAATGGATTCGATAGGATTACCAGCACCTGAAAGTCTCACGGGGTATAGTTTCTGTCTGGTGATTTGCCGGTACATGCTAGCTGTTAGATGGAGTTTAACTTTGACAATGCGCATCAAGTTGATTCAACTCCAGTAACGACAAATCGTGACCCACTCCCACTTATTAGAATGCTGTTACTGGTTCTTATTCTTGAATTGGCCGCTTGTTATATATTTATGTTTGCTCACAAGCACTGAGCTCCAAAGAGTATACATTATTTGCCGAATTTCACTATACTTGCCTCCTATACGTATCACCCTGATATCGGCCTACATCCGATAGCATCGTGTATTCTACTTTAGATATAATGCATATAATATGAAGCGAATAGTTAGGGCCAACTGTTACCTCGATAACTCCGTGCGTGCCTGAATGCCTGACATTTTGATGTGTATAGATAACAAAACGCCATCGACATCGCGTAGGAAGGCAAGACATCTTGTTTGCAATTGTGAAAACTTTTGAGGCATGCAAGCTTGCTTATCCAGAAGAGGATTGAGTTGTGGATTTGCGTTACCTTTACAATACGAAGAACTCTTGCTACATGGGTCGGGTAAGCAATTGTGTTCTGGAATTCTGCAAAACCCTCTGCTATACAACGCGGACCATGAATACACTTTCAGCTTCTCAAGTGGTCTACGAACAGCTTGCAAAGTAAACCGGAGCATAATTTCTGTCTTTGGTTCCCTTCGATTCATGCGAAGTGTTAAACATATAATGAAGGTGAAGGTTAAGGCCGTCCAGTTAGTTGCTTCCAAGCTGCTTGTCGGTAGATCTGAAGAGTAGTCTACTTTCGTTTGATGATTTTCGAATTTATTGGTTTGCTTCCTCGATGTTGAGCATTTTGTTTCGTTTCCATCCAGTATCGCGTTTATGGTGGATCATTAATGTATTTGCCATTTCAAGGTCGATCGGTTGCTACAGGAATCGAGCGAAAGGCTACAAAGCCATTTGCAAGAGAAAATGTTGGTGCTTGAACAGAAACAAAGCCTGGCTCGCGATGTGGACCGCGTCCGCAGACAACTTGAGTCGGCCGTCTCCGACCGCAAAGCCCAAGTAGCCGAGGCAAACCGCCTCCGACGCCAGTTGTTCGAACTGGCGGCCGCGCTGAAATACAGTCAAGCACAATTGGTGACCGCGCAGAGAGCAGCCTCTGCTGCAAATGCCGCCATTCTCGCCCTCACGAAGAGTCAACCCGAGCAGGGGCCTGCGTTCAGTACAGAGGACCAGCTCGGTGAGTGCACCGTAGCTGTAACCAAGCAAGTCGCTTAGATGTATGTCTACCTTTCGGGGTTTAACCCACACATCTCGGACAAATACAGTAGAAATAGCATCTTTTGTTAATTTGCAAGTGTACCTGTTATTCTAAATTATTAATTTGTAGCATTTGGTAGCACTATATCTGCAACAGTTCTATAAATGAATTTTAAGTTCATTTAGCTATGGAACTAAAGTTTGACGTACGGAGTGTCGTACAAACGTGTGCTCTTACCTTGACTGTAAAATACATTTTCACTAACTGATACACTGTACGTCCCGCGGAATTACTTAATGATGCGGTTTTATCTGTGCAAACGTTTCCAATAAATTCTTATCACTACAAGGCCTCAAGATACAATCAAACAGCATATTTCGAAATCGTATCATATGGACCATTACGTGTCCGCATACTAACATCCCGGCATTTTCATCCCAAGCTTTCAAATGTATCGGCACACTTTTCGAGGATTTTACTACTTTTATCCAAGCCATGCTACCGACCTGTTGAGCACCAGCTTTTTCCTCCATTAGATATCCTTGTTTCCTTATTCCATTGCCATTTGTTTATGCTCCATACATTTGGAATTCACCAAGCGTTAGTGTGAACGAACGCACATGCAATCTGTTCTACAGGTTACTTTTATTATGGCTTAAGTTTTATACGACAGTTGTGGGACGCCAGGACTGAATTACATCACAATTGTGATACATCACTATGACAAAAATGAAGAATCACTGTCATTTTTTCTGTCTACCGGCGTAGAGATTCAGTCACATCATCGGGAGTCTGGTTGGATCTACGCAGTTATTGATCTCTTGGGGTCGAATCAATCCCATCACTAGGGTTAAATGCTCCGGTGCCTTTTCTTCGTCTCTGTAATACAGACTGCTGCTACACAGTGTTGTGTCGGAGCCTCACGACTGCTTCCACCCACTAACGGTAGTGAGAACACTAACGACCAAGCAACAAACAATGTTCACGTAGCACGCCAAACCGGCCACCAAGCGTCTGTCTGTGCAACGCAATCACAATATTCAAATCAGGGCATATCACCGGCTATGCGGAAAGGCTGGCATTGGATCAGGCAATGCTGGACAGTGCAAAAAGCGAGGGATCGATAAGTTGCCTCACGAATGAGCGAAATACACAAAGTAAGAGAAAAACTAATAAGCGTAAGATTCAATGTCACAAATATGAGGCAAAAGTGAACGTAAGCGAGGAACCGGAAGAGAGGGAAGGGTGAGTATGGTTGAATGGGGCAAAACTCACAAAACAACGGGAAGCGGTGGAGTATTCTTACCTCCGCCGTAACACACAGCTAGACTAACACGCCGAATATTCACATGGACCAGATATCGCGTTTCTTTGCAGCTTACTTTCGTGTCATCGCGTTAGATTGAAAGACCTGTTTGATTGACCATGCCAGAGTTTACTGAAGCTACTGTTGCGTTTTGGACCAGTGACAAGGGCATTGTAATCTGGCGAGATTAAAAGTCTATCCTTTGCGATACATCGAAATAGTGGAACTTCAGGTTGGGTGTTGGTACGTTGCTTTTCTCGCTGACTTGAACAGTACGCAATCAAGGTGATATCATTAGTGCGTAGTGGTGATAGCCGTAGTTGCTCCAGTCACAGTACTAGGCATGATAGCAGTACCTGCGCTTCACTCCAGTTCTGGATGGACGCAACCAGATGACAGTCTCATCCATATATAAATATGAGAATTTAGTACTCCTGCTCCATCCGGATTGGCTGCCAGCTGTTACACACAACAATGTTTGGGTACTGGCAATGGCTACTGTAAAGTTTGTTGCGAGGTGGTTGGGATATCCGCAATCTTAATCGTTCAAAGGTCAATTGATCCTGGATGCAACTACACAGACACTGTTGTTTTCAATAAGCTTGATGGCCTTATTTCTGAGCTGTTTCTAGCCAGGATCAAGGTCAATGCGCAGGTTGATCGCTTTATTTGCGAAGAAGCAGGCTACGAGAAACTCCTTTCATTTTTTTCTCTACGGGGAGCCATTCCGCGTCGCAACCATCTTTGCAGTAGCCAATGCAAATACCCTATCATTGTTGACTGTAACATTCGACAGCCAATCTAGATGGAACTTGAGTACTCACGTCTGAGAGGTGTAGAAGGATCAGTCTATCATCCGACTGCATTCGTACTGGATTTTTGTAAAGTGCAGCTACTGTTATCAAGTCCATTACTGCTACTCCTAACGCTACAGCCATCACTACCTTTATTTGGCACGAAAGGTTTGCGATCAGTTTGCTCAGTTAGGCTTTGTTAGGCTATCTGTATCTATACACAAATGCTCTGTTTTGGTAGTTGTATGTAGTGTGTAATAATGGCTTAACTAAACTGTGCTACGTTAAGCTGCTTCCTTCATTGCGTGTGCAGTTCACGTTCATCCATATTTTGAGTTCGTTTGCCGAAGCTTCGATTAACGACACAGCGAAGGCGTATGTAGGAGCTGATGTAAAATGGTAGTGTGTACGGTGCACACCGTCATAACAAACTGCACTGATTTTATAAAAACATGTTTCGACAGTGAACAGTGGCAAACTCAGTGGCATCCGTGCATTCGGTCCAACCTTTTTACAATCTTCACTTTCTACTTAAACCTTACACTTTTGCATTCCGTTTCCTTCCAACAATTTTGCGTTGGTATCCCTTTACATTTCATTCTTACATTTGTCTTTATTAGTACAATTGATTATGATTGCATGGGATAATCTAGTCATCAGATGGTCGACACTTCAAGTTATGCCAATCAATTTGTCCCCATGGGCGCTTGTGTGCAAAACTGGCGGTAGAACGCAAAATTAGATTTTCTCGTCATTTGTCATTAAACATTTGGCTACACATTTAGTCTAGGCACGCTATTTGAGTAGGTTAGGTCGCATTGACCAAGAAGCAGACTCCGAAGTGTGTCTTGTAAATGGTCTATTATTCTCACGACTCACACTTTCTGGCGTAGTTGAGGAGGCCAGCGACTCTAATCCAGCCAATCCGCGCTACTGCTTCATTCTCATTTTCACCCCTTCTCTTTCCCTGGGCTAATCGATTCTAGTGGCACCAGCTGAGACGCCAAATATTTACCTTTCAAAATTGCATCTTTGTGTGATCACACGGATTGTTTACAAAAAGCACTCGCACCATACGTAGTACAAAGGGTAGGCTGATTTGCGTAGCTGAGTACATATTTGTCGCTCATCTGTTTATATGTTCTTACAACATTTTCGCTTGTCAACTAGTTGACTCGGATCAAGCGTTTTGGACACACACTTTTACGCCATTTTTACTCGTCAAAATGTTGCTTATCTGGCGCATATTCTCTTTTATCTAATTAGCCACTTGTGATATCATCAATCTAGGTACCATACCAGCCTATTGTCCTGTATTTGTCACGCTGTCGTGTGTCACTTATGCAGTGAAACAATGGTCTAATAAAAAGTAAATAAGCCAGAGCTTGACAGGTCCCGTGGTATGGTTTGTGTGAATGATATAAAGTCAGCACTGAAGGTAAACGCGCACGTGGACTCACCATAATATCCATGTTCCCACATGTTTTTTCCGTTTACCCCGATTTCTTGGGAAATGCTGAGCTGTTAGTCTGTCTCTTGTCAGCACTCGAGTAATAGAATACAAATCAAATAATTCAGGTATTGCAATGTATCCTGGAGTCATCTTTTATGAACGTGCAAGGTGGGCGCAGATTCGACAAAAGTCGAAAGAGCGTTCCATGGCTGACAAATTTGAAGGGAAAAATAATTCCGGCGGCGTTCCAGTCGACTGTATTCGGTGGCCAGTTTCCGCTGTTGACCTCTCAATTTTGTGTTGCGGTTACCTTTCGGGACGTGGTGGCAAGCAAGACATGGGTTTTTCAAAATCTGGTACGCCCCAATAAGGTCACCCCGTAGACGGCGATAACTTCGTGACTATGGTGTGGATAGTTGCCGATGTCCTAGGCAGCGGCTATTTAGACTACCTACTGTATGGGACAAAAACTGCTTTTCTTTGTGCTTAATTCATATCTGGCTGATCCAGTTAACTAAGTTGTGCACTTCTTACATGTGGTTCAGCCAACCATAGTTGTAAACGGCAGACAGTCCAAGGCGGATTTCCTTACACCAAGGTGATTGGGAATCTGTCGCATAAAATTAGTCAACCATATATCATAGACGACGACAAGTACCCTCATGGCGGGGAACAAATTATCTCTGGATACCTCAAATTTTTTTGCAGCCCAGATGTTGTTCGTATTCTTCTGTTACCTTCCCCTCATCGGATCCACAAATTACACTTTCAGATAGCCGGTCTCGAAAAGACAACCAAAACTTGTATCGGTGAATGTTTGCGGCTGTGCACTGCACGATTATCTTCATCTTGTCAACGATTTGCAAAGAAGACATATCAGACCTGCGTATGTGGAATGTATTGTCTGTAGAGCCGTGTGGCGCTAAGCTAGCAGCTTCCACATCCGAAATTCTTTTGACTGCGACTGCAACGAGTTAACATAGTCGCGACACATCGTAAAGTGTAAAAATAAGGCGCTGTAAACGACTGATTTTATTTGCTTTCTATAGCACTGCTAAAGTACAAGAGTTTGTTTTGTCTAAAAGCGAATTGCAGTCTGTAATAAAATTGTGTGTTGTTAGTTGTTTTACACAACGGCTACTGTAGAACAGAGAAGATATTATTTGTAAGCAGGGGGATTTATTGGGTTCCTGTGAAGTTTCGTCGAAGTTAGACAGACAGACATCCACCACGCACCAGCCTTAAAAAAACCCAATACATCCCCCTACTTACGAATAATACCTTCTCTGATCTACAGTACCCATTGTGTAAACGAACTAAAAATCCACCATCTCATTAGAGACTGCAATCCACTTTGAGACAAAACGCAGTTAGACTCAGACAAACAGCCACCACACATCCAGGAAAGCACGCGATATATATATATATATATATATATATATATAGCGCTTTGCTTAATTTGTGTTGGGTGTCTGTCTAAGTCAAACTGCGACGAATTGTCACAAAATAGAAGGTTTTGTCCATTCACAAACTTGCTTTCCGTTGCTGAACACCTTTCAATTTGCAAATTAGAGGTAGAAGGTTTAGGTAAAATCCATGAGGTTCGGGGTTCAAGTGTCTGCCACCTCAACCAGATGAGATCATTCGAAACCAGTCGTGGAGTACATTGTTTCCGAGAAAGCACCACCCAGTATTTATCCGCCTAACTTACGCTCCCAGTGGTCGATTTACAGTTCGCCAGTGAAGTTGAGCTGCTTTTTGTTCCCAGACGTTCTATTGCAGCGGCGTAAAGACGGGACGATCAAAAGGAGTGTTTTTCGCAATTCGACGTGGATCGGTCAATATACCCACTTTCCTAGCTTTGTACCGCTGAGATGCAAGAGGAAATTAGTCCGTTGCCTATACCATCGTGCCAGAGCAATCTGCAGTCCAGAGACACTGGAAAGCGAAACCAAGATCATCATTACCACGCTGCAAGAAAATGGATACCCCGTACCTTTTATTAAAAAGCACTCCAAAACAGCCCTGATACTGTCCAGTCTGTTGCTACAGTGCCCAAAATGAGGTATTCCTTACTGTTCTCTTTAAAAGTGAGTTCGCGTTCGAACCGTAGACTAGAAAAATCTCGACGGCAGTGGTCAAGACAGTTCCAGCCGCCAATCTAAAACTACTTGCCGAAACAAAACCATTGATACTTCAGCGCTTAAAGATGAACTCCTAGTTCGGTCCGAATCGTTTGTCTGATAACAGTTCACCTGAAGCTGTGGTGCTAGGTATCTTGGACCTATGATCAGGTGTTTGTCCAAACGAATCGCTTAACATTGTACCGCGTCACTACTAAAAGGCATTGTAAAATACATCAACGGTTCTGTTTTACAACCACTTTATTTGCCAATGGACACCAAGCCCATGAACCAGTTGCTTAAAGTCTTTTAAACCATCTCCAAGCGCTACCCAAAACAGTTTAGGTAACATCTGTTGACCCTTTTTAAAGCCATTGTAATCAAGGTTCTGAAACCAGAGCTGTGAAAACGATGCGCATTGCTACAGGATCTGAAATTGCCTTGGCTTTGAAATTGACCTATGTACTGCCTTGATCACCTGCTTCCTAATGCGACAGTCTGATTGATCAAAGCATTGCTTTATTCTTGTCATACTGCCTCTACGAGCTTTATTCCCTCCCTCGATGAGAATATTCTGACTAAAATGGGGATAATTTATGGACTAAAATTACGAGTTACGGTCTCTGCTGAAACTGAGCGTCATAGCCTATTCACACAACGAGTGCTTCCAATATACTGCTCCGATGAGCAAAGCCGAGATAACTGCAGCTTTGAAGGACGATGCCTACGGTAATTAGATGTGAAGCGGGCAGTCCTGTACCTAAAAGAAGCCGTGTTATAGACCCAACTTCAAGTTTTGATAGGTTCTGCAAACCACATATATATATATATATATATATATATATATATATACATTGACGCAGTGCCAGTCAGCGTCAAATTATTGGAGTAAACTTCATGCACATTAACGCAAATACGCAAAAATACTAGAGCGTAACACAACTGCGCGTACATTACTGACTTGCTGTTGGTAGTTTTGCATTCCGTGATAACTATATCGTTTTTTAATGTTTCCAAGGACGGCCTGATCCGATCTAGACAATTCCTGTAGTTAGACAGATTTTCGCTTTTGAGATGCGGACCGACGGCATGGTTTTACAGTTCCACATGGTTTATCAATTCAGTCCTTCCGTCAATCTTATTTGCACTATTATGTTGTTGGCCTCCTGCCCTTGGGCATCATCGAGACTTGTCAGTTGGTGTTCGAAAACATTTGTTGAAATTAAGCTAACTAAACTGTTTAGTATAGGTAACTTGCATGTTAACCAATCGTTCAGCTAGAATGTACTACGTGTCAACTGATGACGGTATTAGAAATTGTTATGTGGACCCAACGTTCCCACAGTGATTACAAGCTTAAACCACGGAACGCAATGAGACTCGATTCAGACAAGTGCACATGTTTCGATCAGCTTTTAAACTAGTGCAACATTCACGTTTCCATCGGTATTGTACCTCAGAAAACATTCTTGTTTCCGGCGCATCTCCGCAACTATAAAACATTCAGCCTTTTTTCACCTAAGAAACATTCATTTTCCAGTCCAGCCTCCGCATCTACCAACATGCACTTTTTAACATGTTCCGTTGGCATATTTGCATAGAGACAAGCTATTTACTTCCAGGGTTTGCTTACGCAAACCATTTGTGCTATCTAGGTATAAAAGAAACGCTGGACTGCGCTGTAATCGCTTTGAACCTGGCCGGTAAAGTGCCTACGCGAAAGGCCTGCCTTTTTGTGTTGTTCTCTCGGGTTTGGGTAGCTGCGTGTGAAGTTGCGTGTAGTCTAGGAGCCCGTTCAACTCGCGCGTAGTAACCGTGTTGTGCCGAAGTCTCACGGCTCCTACAAGTTCGAATTTTGTTGGTTACTTTGTCGTGCGTGTAATAATTCCAAGTCGCATTCGTTCATCTGACTAGGAGAGTTGATACTAGATCGCCAGAGCGTGGTGTAACCAAGAGGCAGTTATAAAATATACAACCACAGACGGTCAGACTATGAGGCACCAAAAAACAGACATCCCTGAAATAATCGTAGGAATGTGCCATGGTCGGTTGGATTCAACAAGTTCTAGACTCTGACAATACCCCACAACATGACATAAAACTCAATTGACCCACTGCAGTCGATGCATAGCAACCAGACTTTTTTCCCCTATTCCGCAAGTCGTTCAAACGATTTTTTGACCCATTTTTAGTTGGCCAATTATCCGTTTCTTTGCCCCTGGGCTTTTCCGCCGTTGCAATTCTGCGGTGATACACGATGCTAGTGAATACAAGCACATAAGGTTCACCCGCCGTGTGTCTGAGTTGCGATGTGCCATCTCAATTTTGGCCTCAAATCACTATGAACTAAACGTCCTTCATTTTTGCCAGTAGCGCATTTGTAATTTGTCTAACCAAATTTGAAAAGTAATTTATCACAGTGACCGAAACTCAAATTGTGTGGGACCGTGCATGATCATACCAAGTCTCAAAGTATAAACAAGCCTACGACGCATCTAACTGTTTAGCGATCTTACAAATTCACCTGCAGTGTACTTCTGATGACGCAAAAATGGTGGACAGTACTGCTTTGCTAAATTAATACCAACTAACCTAATGTTTACAATGAGTGCGTCATAGGTCTTGAATTGTGCGGAAAATGTTAAAGTAGATTTGCTTTTCAACAATTACATTGTTCATAACATTCACTACGAACTTTCTTTCTTGACTCTAGGGACTGCGCTAACCACAGCGGCAACAGAGGCATCACCGCTTTTCCCTGTGCCTGCTTTCAACGAGTCCTGGCCTGCGGCACCCAATCTGCAAACGGTGAGCGTTTTGTGTAAAAGCAGCAATAGTGGCTCCAAAGCTTGCGGAAAGTTGCACTTACATGTTATGGGATAAGGTCCGGCTTAGCGGAAGACGTCGTTCTGTTTGCTGTTTCGCACCCAAAACGGACCTAACAAAGATACGGATATATATATATATATATATATATATATATATACATATATATATACCCAACCCAATAAAAGCTAAAAGACTGGTTATGACCTATATATATATATATATATATATATATATATATATATGGAGGTCACAATCAGTGTACAGAGATTATGCCATCAGAACCATCGCGGAATAGAAGCAAAAAGAAAGAAAGCCATTTTTGTCCAATTTCCCACTCACCGCTTTTGAGTTTTTTTTGATGTTTTTATTGGGGGAGGGAAGGGGAACCACTGCAACAAGCGGAGATACACGATCGCCATTAAGTTCGGTTTCGAGACATGACTTCCAACGTTTCCAACCAACTGCACTCAGCATCTTTGGGACTCAACCTAGCGAGTCGAGAAGAATCAACCGATTCTAGCTGTTTTATCATCATTTTCATCCTGTTTCTCCAAGTTGTAGGCTGTCCACCACACCGCCCTCTTCAGTTCAGTCCGGCGACCGCAAACAACACATGACGTGGGCGACGCTGAACTGGCATACGCAATACGTGTCCAAGCTATCCCAGTTGGCGTAACGATACAAGCGCCTCTTGGGAGTGGCTGCCTTTATCCCAGACAAGCTGTCTGACGTCATTGTTGGTTACGTGGTGCAGGCACCACACAGGTGCGATTGACCGAAGGCAACGGTTCTCGAAAACAGACAGTCGGCGTAGGTCATCGGTACGATTAGACCAAGTCGGGCAACCGTACAGCAGTACAGCGCGGATGGTCGCACTCTAAACCCACCCTTTGATAGAGAAACGGATGTAATGGCGGCGCCATAAATGCCTCATCCTGGAGAAGGTGAGACGAGTTCTTGAGATGCGCACTGAAATCTCGTTCCCAACAGCCCCCAGGAGCTGTGATGCAGCTTCTAAGCTAAACAAACTCTGTACCACTTCCAGCGCCTCACCATCGATAGTGAGTGCAGTTAGGGGCGTCTGCTAGTCTTGTAAACCTCTTTGCACTTGGATTGTGAATATTGCATGCCATACTTCAACGCTTCAGTCGGCAGGCTGGTAAAGGCAAGTTGTAAGACCTGCGGGCCGTTATCAAACAAGACGATATCATCAGCCTAATCCAAATCAACCATCCGACTATCTGGGAAGAGCTCAACGCCAGTGTCCAACAAGTTTTCTAGAGCATTTTTGAGGACATCCTCAATAGCAAAATTGAAGAGGAATGGTGAGATAGGGCATCCTTGTCGAACCCCACTGGTGACAACAAAGGGAGGCGAAGGCATGTTATAAGTCCTGCCTCTACTCGAGGTCAGACTATACAGAGCACACAGTACGGAAACCTTCGGTGACTCGAATGAGATGGAACAGTTTTCTGGTATTACCAGAGTGATTAGCAAGTTCCATCTCTTTAACACGTTCACACCACTAAGTCTCATGCTCCTTCTGTACGCGCCTACGCAACGCTCTATCCAACGATGGGTGTCTCTCACTACAGCTAGTGTCGGCCGGGAGCATGCCACTTTTGTCTATCAGCAACAAGGAGGCAGTGGTGTTCCAGTTTTTTGGCGGGTTACAAGTAACACCACAAATGACAGTACTTGCAGAAAGTAAGGTGTCTTTGATGCGCTTCCATTGCGAATTAAGACCATCGTCAGAGGATGAAGCAAACAGTGTTGACAGAGAAGTCTGTTAATTGGCTAAGGTCACAAGATTTTGCAGATTTTGGACGTTCGGTCGGTAGTGCGTACGTCTGGGTGATCCTCTGAAACACATGTAAATCTTGGTGCGAGCCAGTGCGTGATCGGAGTCCAGACAGATTGACCAGCACGATCGGCAGTCTGTTAGGTTTCCCCACCAGGTGTAGCTTATTGCTATGGGGTCAAGCTGGAACCAGTCTGGCTTTTGAGACGGCGGAGGCCATGTAACAGTTTCTCTTTCCGAATGCTGAAAACTGGTGCTCAAAAGAAGCAAGCGATGAGCAGAACAAAGCTTTAGTAGCCTGCCTCCATAGTCTGATCGACTGCTACCGAAGCCAAAACTACGCTCAAGATAGTGCTCGCTTGGTGGCGTTAGAATCTCCGGCAAGAATGACAATACCAGACACTTTTGAGGAACGCGAAATGTTATGTAGCCGTTCGTAATAGCAGTCCTTGACTGCATCCTGGCTGCAGCCTGTGGGTGCGTAGGCGATGAAAGACAAAACACGCGTAACATCTCGACGTCCAACTTACATGAACCTCGTAATCTGACTGCACATAGCCGACTGTTGACTGGGATGCAGTTAAGCAAATCGGCTTCAGCCTGTCATTCAGCGCAACCCAAACAGAATCTTGGCAACTGACAGCGACCTCCGAGTCTCCGGAAGGACGCAAGTGGTATTTGACGTCAGAGTTTGTCGGACAGATCGTTGTGATGACGCTACTGGCGTCTTGCAACTTGGTTTCCGAAAGGCAATAGATGTCCACCAAGAATGTCTCAAGGGTGTGCGCCAGACATGCTTGCCACCCGATCGGCAGCAGAGTCAGCACATTGAGCACTGCAAAGCCGAAAGGAGTACCACGTCGAAGGAAAGTTTGGGTTTCGGTGGAGTGTGAGAATGCTGTGACCACCGGGTAACGAACAACAAATCTTTGGTTCAGAACTCTGTCGGATACGACCAGTGAGCTGTTTTGAGGATGACCGGGGAAGACATAGGTGTAGTTAAGGAACGGGACGCGGGACGATCTGTGAGCGGATGATGAAAAGCAGAGACAGTATAGCCAGTAGACATAGCAATAGTGAACGCCGTAATATAAGCCATCTACGGTTCGTCTCTGGGCGTGATACTACTCGGTTGCTCAATCCGAAGGACAGGGTTGTCTTAGGGGACCTCACCCCGAACCTTTGGTTCGGGATATATCCTAAAGCAAGCCTTTGGGAGTCGGCGACCAGACAGCTCGTTCATACGCCTTTAGGACCGAAAGGGACCAGGTGCCCAACACAATCTTGAATTACAATACCGCTCAGAGAGTGGCAAGGGGTAATGACTTTATTTAGTGCTAGTCGCATCCGCCACCTCACAGTGTCCTTAAACGCACATATGTGGCTTTTTATATGGAGAACACTTGCCAGGCGTATCCGCATCACGTCCTGGAACACTGCCGCCAAACCATTCGCTGGAACGAAATAATCCGCAAGCACCCAGCTCGCACCACTAGGAGGTTGTTCAGCAAGCCAGCCATTGATAGGGGTGAGCTGTTTCATATCATGGGACCAATTCCATCACACTGCCTACCACCAGTACCCCGCATGCGTTGATACAAGTCACCATTATTTACTAAGCTCTCTCTCGGTTCAAACCCGGGAATATCTCATTAGGATCAGAGCACTTTCGGAGGTAACATAGCCGCAACGGACCATCTTTTTTCGTTCCTGATTCTACATTGTAATTCCATGAAAAATATCAAGTTATCTCGGTTTTCTTAGCTTGAATCATTGCACTTGCAATCCACTCAATCATCTCATACTGAAGCGTGTAAACAACTGATGCTTCTAAGTTCAGTTAAATGAAGTTTTATTAGTTGGGATACTTTTACAAGATTATTGAGCAACCGATTTAAAGAAACAGTTTGTTTCTAGATTACTGGGCTAGCTCGACTCTTCCGAGTCAAAAGACTTTATCATTCCTGAGCATATCCCTTTAGAAAATTAATTGGCCCCCTACTTTGATCGTAACAACCAGGACTAGACAACATGTTACGGAACTTCGGTACCGAAGAACCTAGAAAGGTGACTACCCTTTGGAAGAGTTTGGATTTTACAGAAAATTCAATAGAGTATAACTGATGCAGTCCATCGATTAAATATTTCTCTCTGCTTCTGCACTTCGTTGCACATGACCGGTTAAATTAGCTAAGGGGTTTTGGTGCACAACAAGAATACTGCTAGTACGACGAGTGAATACGTTACTGTCCTTTCGAAATCCCCAACAAGCAGGATAAGTGGAGAAGCACACACACGCACACAACTTGCAGCGAGTTGATGAGCGTACAAAGGAATGGGGAGCAAAAATTGACTGGAAGTGTCGGAGACCACTTCACTCCAACGGGTCGCTGATTATGGATTTTATCAAAAGACAGTTGAGAAGAAATTTCTTTTCGACAATTCTCGTCATGCAGTGACAATTATGAATTACATAATCGGTGAGGTAATATGGTATCGCTAGCGTCGCATAGTTATGACGTGTCGAGTTTCTGATGGGCCGCGGTCAGCGCCCGATTTTGAACACACAACCATAGATCGATGGGCAAACAGTCAGCTGCTAGATCTGTGGCCACTGGAGAAGCACACTTTGCAGAAGCATTTTCTGTTTGCATAATTCCGGCTGCAGCCTGTTGATCACGGTCGCTTCCGCAATGGTCCACACACGATTTCTGAGTCCCTTCGGCGATCTTTTTGGGCGCAAGGTACAGTGCTTCCAAGCAGTCCTTAGTTTGGAAATGATATTCACTATTGATCAGATGTTCCAGAATTGAGCTGTGGACCTTCTTGACCGTGCCGTGCCGCAATGATGCCGGGCAGTGTTCCGGTATCCGCCTCGAAAGACGTCTGGTCGTATGTCCGATGTACCGCGCACCACAGGTGCAGGTGATTTGATATAGAACGAATCACTCGGACCGAACCGGAATTTTGTGTTTGAGGCGTTGTGTAGTCAACGGTGTGGTCTCATGGCTGGGTATGTTTGATTCACTGCGGTCGACAATGTCTTGTTCAGTAGGTCAAAGGGGATATCCCCTTTGAAAGGGACTGAAAGAAAAACGTCCTTTTTTCTTACGGTCGCTGTTTTTGCAGGCGGGGCGTGAATTAGAATGCTTTTATTGGGGTTGACAAATTTGGTTGCAGCCAACGACTCAATCAATAACCACCTATCTTGGCTTCCGAAATAGTAAAGTGGAAAATGTTTCAGAGTCAAAACATAGCTAACCTAAAACTCGTTTTACCGTTAATGACAGCGTCACAATTGTTCACAGCAGAACGTCTTGTTGTCTTTCAGATAACCGACGGCAATTTCGTGCCTAGTCCCAGCTCCGTTCCAGTTGACCCAAACCAAGAAATCGGTTGGTCTAGAGATGTCATTTCGAGTGCATTGGAAGAACTTCTTGCCAACTGCGCTGTTCTGAAACATCCAGCTCAAGCAATGCCAATTCAACCTCAAAACCCGACAACAGATGCCGACCAGCTGGTCACATTGTTGCAACAACACCTTGAAGGCACATCACTGCCAGCGCCGAATATGCAATCGGAAACGAATCATACGAACGCTGAGTCGTTGGCTGCCTTGATACAAACTCAGTTGGATGCCATCAATAATGAAATTCAGTTAATCCAGGTATGTCTCTAACTGTCTATGGTAAGGCTAAACAGAGTGAAGGTCTTCCGTATGGACGCATTCAATGATTGGAAAGGATATGATTTGCTCCTGGTGGTCTTAAAGAGGCTTCACACAAATTTTTCTGTTTTTACCACGTTGCTGAATGTGTGACAATACGACAAATTCGGTTGGAAATCCTTGGGCAAGATATCTTCCTCGCTGCCGAATTCATTAACACACCTGTTGCTTGGAATCAAAACAGCTTATTAGAAAATGAGATGTAATTTTAATGGAACGCTTATTCACAGGGAATGGACAAGATATGTAAGCAATTCTACTTTTTTTAAACAGTAACAAGCTGACAGCTATACACCATGGCGCAATGATCTAATGCGGGTTGAACGTAATGGCTTGAGAAATCCGGTAGAATGGTGTGGATAAACGACAGTTTTGAAAATGTAGCGCTAACTGATGTTCATACTTACTTATTTACTTACTTTACTACGGCTAACTCCTGCGACAGCATGAGCCCGTTTCATAAATGTCGCGAATTATAGCTGCCCAAGCGCGGCGGTCGGCGGCCAGCTCCAGGCAGATACTGATCTCCAGTGATGAGCACCATGCACAACATGGAGTCTCAGAAGTTCGACATCCGATTTCCCTGCAGTGTGCCACCTCTTTAATTGTCCACCATGGCGACGACACAAACCCTGACAAGGCGAGGTTGGAACTACGGCCCTAGTGAAGTCAGTGTCTGGTCTGAGGAGTACGTGACGGAACCACTGAAATCTGCGTCGTTGGATGAGCGCCGAGAGCTTCGGAAGACCGTAACAGAACTTACGGATTTCGTCATTGGTGATACGCTCATGCCACTGCATTTTCAAGATAAGCCCTAGACACCAATAGTCGAACAATTCCAGCTTCCAGGTGTCTTCGGATGGCAGCGGCCATATTTCGCAACCATAGCGTAAAATGCTGGGAATACTCGTATATTTGTTCTCAGAATAATTTCCGTCCTTCGCCCTAATGTGTTTCTCAGTTGTAAGAAGGCTTTTCTAACGCTGTCAATACGATTCCGGATTTTGGATGTATCCTGACCATTGGGGAATATACTGAATCCAAGAAAGTTGAACTCAGGACCAGATTCGATGAGTTGTCCATGTAAGGAGAGTTATGGGGCAGACTGGGTGGCTGACGATGAGAAGTACTTCCTTTTGATGATATTAGTTTCTAGGCCGACTGTAGAAGCTGATTGGTCGATCCGACTTAGCAGTGGCTGTAGTGATATAGCATCTTCCGCAAGGATAGCGATATCGTCAGCAAATTCTAGATCTGACAGCTAGAAATTATGGCTAACTTGAACATCACGATGGCTCTCAAGGGGATGATGCGTAACCCAGTCGACTACGAAGTTGAACAGCACTGCAGAAAGTAGGCAATCCCGCCGGACTCCAGTATTGATGTCGAATTCCTTTGTTTCTTCTCCATACACCTGAATCCGGGCTTTCTTGCAACAGTAATATGGTCTCATCAAGTTAACGTGTTTAACCGGCACGCCATCGTCAAGTAGAATTTTCCAGAGCGCTTCACCGTCAACTATGTCAAAGGCAGCTCGGAAATCAACGAAGCTCACGAACGTGGGTTGATGGAACTGGTAGCAGTGTTCGAGTACTCGACGTAGAGTGAAGATTTCGTCACTGCAGCCTCCGCCTGGACGAAAGCCACCTTGGTTATGGCGAGTTCGCAGATTCCTCATTGGCAAAGCGGGAAAGCAAGATTCATGCAAAGGTTTTGGCAGCCACATCGATTAGGCTAATCCTACGATAATTACTGCACACAGTTCAGTCATCTTTCTTGGTAACTGGCAGAAGTACTTAGGTACTCTACGAGGGAGGACAGATTTCCGTCTCCATATCGAGCAGAAGCGCTCGTGCAAATGGTCAAGGAGAGCTGGTAGACAAAATTTGTAGATTTTCGCTGGAATCCCGTCCGCTCCCGGGGCTGTCTTCGGCTTCAGGTGACGAACAATGTCTACAATTTCTGTGGGAGATGGAGGTGAGCAATCCGCGGTATATCCTGAGTGGGTTAATGCTGAAATGGGTGCGGTGGTGTGTAGTGAGCGGTTTAGGAGTTTGCTAATATACTCTGCCCATCTAGGAAGTTTTCTTCCCGTATCAGTGATGAATTGGCCTTCCGAATTGCGCAATATCGGCTGTGGTGAATGGCGCTTGCCGGAACGTAAACGGACGAGAGGAAAGAGATGACCCAAATTGCCAGAATTTGATACAGTTTTCATGTTACTTGCGATAACAGACCAGTAGCGCTTGCGATCATTCCGTACTGAACGGGTTGCCTCACGTCTCAAGAGACGGTAGTCTGGGGAATTCGTGAGACGTACTTCTCTCGCTTTAGCTGACAAGAGGATAGTATTTTCATTGATGCATTCTTTCATAGGCTTAAAGCTAGAGCCCATGGTAGATTAAGCAGCACGTTGAATTGACAATTTTAGCCTAGATCAACGAGCGTCTACAGCTTCATCTTTAGCAAGTACTTGGCGCTGTGCACTGGCAGAAAGTTATGCTTCTATTGCTGTCTCTATAGATCGACAGCAGTCGGTTTTTTCCAGTAGGACATTGTTGATACTCTTTAGTGGAAAAATCTTTCGGCGCGTTGTCGAACAGATTCTGAATTTTGCTCGCAGGAGTGTGTGGTCCGAACCATCTTTATTGCCCGTTTTAGCCCTTCTGTACGCTCCTGCTTCCTTGATGCTTCCTTGGTGCTGGAAGTGAGTGATGGTTACAAACAACCGCTTAAAGTCAGCGAAGCTGAGCAAGCCATCTTCATTATCACAGCGCTCTCCAAGGGTGTACCTCCGGAGTATGTGACAGGTCTGCTTATACGGTTCGTGCATTCCAGTTCCCAGCACTAATGAGGATGTTGTGTTTTATAACATGGTTCACCACTGTCTGTAGAGTATAGCAAAATTCGCCTTTGTCCCTTTCCGCTGTAAGTAGAGTTGGTGCGTAGACAGAGATTATGGTCAGATTCATTGGGTGGGCTTTGAAGCGTACAACTTCTATTCTAGCTGATACTGGCTTCCATGAAATGAGAGCGATGTGTGCCGGGCAACTGAAAGCCATGACGACCCCATGATTGCTAGAATTATCTTCCGATTCACTGTGGTTAATACAATATGATTTTGATTTGTCAAGAGTCAAAGGTATTCGTGATTCTGACAGGCATGCTATGTCAATCTGGTAGTTATGTAGTGTGCGCATCGTCAACGCTTGGCTGCCGACATTCAACAAGTTTCTGACATTCCAGCATCTAATTAATAGTGGCTTCCGGGGATTGTGGGACCCAGCTAGCTTACTTTTCAACCTGGCCTCTGTGTTAACACAGAGAGCATCGTCTACAGGAAACACTGTAACATGAGAAGAATCGCAGGTAACGGAAATGCCATGAAGTTTCGTGGGGATTATGGGTACGTATGAGGACCCCAACCTCATCCACCTTCTGTTCGAGGGTTCACCTCTAGCATATGCACAGCCAACTGCTACCTGCAAGGCAGCGGGTATCTGGGAAATTGTGTTTACTTCTGGCCGCTGGATCAGGGATCGATCTCTCCCCCTCCCCCCAGTTGTCAGCACTGACGCTGCACGGGAGTATGAACTCACCGAGAATATTATTCCCGGCTACCGTCACCTGGTTTAACCCATCTGCCTGACGGTTGACCAAGATGTGGCTGCTGTCGCGCGCAAGCATCTTCCTGGAGCCACAGGTGAGAGCCGGGTGACAGATGGAGACCAAAGATAGGCGGACGAAGCGTTAGTACTAATCACTGAGCTTGGCAATTTTGTGGCAAACCTTTCGTCACCAATTGAGGTGATTTCATCAGTGTGTAGTTGAGTAGCGTGCAGTAGCGTAAAGGAGCCTCGAGAAAAGTGCGCTGAGCGTGTTGTGCGTGTGCGTTTTTATACCGCCGTGGTTACCCGTGGAGACAAGCAATCCACGCAGAACCAACTGAGCTGCACTCGCGACAACGATACATCTACACTGCGGCCGTTACCGCACAAAGGCGCACTGATACTAACTGAGTTTTCCTCATGACTCTGTCGCTGTGTGACAACACATGTGCCGGTTAGTCATACTATAGTTCGGTTCTCAGTGCGATTGCGCAATGTTACGTTTCGTTCGTCTGCAGTCTCAGCTTGTATGTACCTCTGACGGCTAGGTCACGTATGCGTGCAACGTTCCGAATTCCAGTGGCTGATTTGCGCTCGTGGAGTGCTACATAATGCCTGCAAAAGGATACTTCTCCATGGATGGCCTCATCCAGTTTCGGATTTATCTGTCACTGTGCTCAGCCGCAGGACGACTGCGCCTACTGACGGACCATGGATTGCTTGCGCTGCACCACCCACAGCTCCAACCACACACCCCATATCCAGTGTAAACCCGAAGGAATAAGCCCGAGATGCATGTGGATGGGAGCCACGTTTCATCAACGGAGCCGGCCCACACTCCTTCACAGGCAAACACAAGCACGCTGTATTTGGGAATCAAGCGCACACAAGACGGTGACTAGACCGTAGTCCGCTCCACACTGAGTGCATGGAACCGCTCTTCGACCCTAGCACAGCCACAATGACATTTCGCCCCGTCCCCTGTAGCAATGACCAACTGTCTCCTGAAGCCAGTATGGACGCGATAGTGGGTAATAGACAGGTAGGCACCTTGTCAACATGCATATCAAGCGCAGCCACACCGGGGATGTCAAACAACAGCCAATCACCTGAAACGACCAGGTCAAATAAAATAAATCGAATACTGCATACAGATACGGGGTCATAACTCTTCAATAACTGAGCATATGAAATAAATTGTTTGCAAAAATTTCCGCGACATGTTCACTACGTCAGAAAACATAGCTTATGAAAATGCCTCAACCGCGAAATTAGCTTAAGCGACGTGTGCAAGTCTATAGAAGATAGTTCAGGTAGACATCAATATGAGAT